TTTATCACAAGATTTTTCATACTATTTCATACTATTTTCATACTATTTCAAGTTCCTTATTGCTTTTTCTGGTTTATCAACCAGAAATTACTGCTGCTAAGATTTTCATTTATTTTCTTCTAGGCTTTTTCTAGAGAAGGTTTACAGGCATTTGTGTTTTTGTAGATTTACCTTTTAAATATATATTTTTATTATGATGCAATGATGTACTATGAACTCAATACTTATATATTTTATTTTGCATTATGGTCAAATTATATAACTTCCATATATTTAATATTATTATATATTCCTAGATTAATAAAAGCTCATCCAATACGTGGTAACAGCTTAATATATCAAATATATTAAAATATGATGTATACACGTACTTCATATATACATGATGTATACATATAACAATTTCATATTGTTAAAATTTATTTCCAAACATGATTAATAATGGCTGCATTAAAATTAATGTTACTGTTTCTACTAAATGAGTGAACCATAAGTTATTTGATTATTGCTTATTTTTCCCTCATTAAAAATACTTGGTCCTAGGTTTTTATTTTTGGCTTTGCTTTATTTTTGGTTGATATCCCTGGGCTTATTGGCTGTGATAAACAAGACTGCAATAAACATCCCTATGCAAAATCTTTACTTCTGCAGGGAGATTACTACAGCTGAAATCACCAGATCACAGGATATGGAGTTTTCAGTCTCTTGCCAGCATACATCAGTTTCTGCTTCTGAAATATTGTGTTATTTAGACAGCATCAGAAAGAATCAGTTTTATAGTATCCATCTCAGAACTATTATCTATTTTAATAACTACTGATTTTATAGGTCACAAATAGAATTTATTTATTCTTTATATTTACATGATTACTAGTACAGTTAAAATTTGTCATGTTTATTGATTTAATGATTTCTGCCTTGAATTATTTCTTGCCATCCTCTACTTTCAGTATTTTATAAATTATGATATTTACACTTTAAACTTATATCTTTTATTATAACTCAGGAAATGTTCCAATTTTTTACCTGCATTGTAATGTTTCCTATGAATTTTTTTTTCTCATTGAGTTTATTGGTACATTTTAGGTATACAGTACAGTTACATTCATCATTGGGATCTTGTACCTTTATCCTATGAATTTTGACACTGTTTTAAGTTCTAAAAAGCAAATTTCTAGACAATTTCTTTCATTGCTTTCTTTTTTATATTTTATAAACTACGAACTGAAGATTTCTACTATACATAGTTGTCAATTCTTTCAATAAAAACCAGTTCCTATGTTCAAAGACAGATATCTAGAATAAATTTAAGGCTGATGATGCTGATTATTGCCAGCCTGCTGGAGGCCAATTTGAAATTATCAGCCAGGAGATTATTAAGTATTTCTGGTGCAGGAGAAGTTGGCATCAAGCCAGACACAGCTCTATTAATAGGCCACGCATATCACTTGCACTGTGGCATTTGGCCAACATTGAGGACCCAGAAATTCTAACGTTTGGAAAGCAGGTCTGCAGTGATGGATCTCTAAGTCTAAGGGAAGTTGGACTCGGGGCTAGGTGACACCAGGACCATGGCAACAAGGAATATGACAATGCCAGTGTCGGTTTAGCTAGAGAAGAGTGGGATGCAAAAGTCCGAGAAGCAGAGCCTGTATTTAGAAAGGAGAGTCTAAAAAGAGTTTAAATGACCTCCCAATCAAGGATCTCACTGTTCTCACTATTTGAAACTCTGCTGACTACAGGCTAGCCTCTTGCTTTCCTGCCATTTCAATTCTATACTTCTGTCTTTAAACATATCGTTGATCAGGCAAATAAGCTTTCTCAGCAGCATGAAAATTAATCAGGCTATTAATATTAATAATTAATATCCATTAACCTCTTACTGTGGCTTAGACCCTGTTCTCAGTCTTTTATGTTCATTGAAGCATTCAAAACACTTTGAACCTATGGAAACTGTAATTTTCTTTAATTTATAGTTGAAGAAATTGAGACAAAGAGAAGTTAAGTAACTTGTCCAAGGTTAACTCAGCATTTGAACACAGACAGCCTGACTCCAGAATTAGTACTCTTAGGATATTCTATTATATTCTGCATTTACCAATAAAAACTCTGAGTAATTAATTGTATCTTTGTGGAAAGGAGTGTACATCTATTTATACTATGGAAAGACATAAAAATATGATTCCACATTTGTAATTCTTTATTCTGGTCAATGAAGAGGGAGAGTTAGCAATTAATTAAATGATTCTTAGATTATGTAGGTCTCTCTCCCATCTTCTGATCTTCTACTAGAAAACAAAACATAGAAAAAAACACAAACAAAATAATTTCACTAAAGTTCACAGTTCTGCCTGGCATTGTTTTAAGGAAGATACCAAGTGCACATAATGATCAAAGTAAGATCAACTGAATAGACTCACCTACTAAATTCCCATCATCACAGCAGCTTCCCTGGCTGCAGCTATGGGCAGGGTAGTGGATGGTGCAGAACGTGTACAGGTGGATTCCCTATAATGACACATGACTGTCGTCAGGGCACCTTGGTAGTGTAACAGATGGATACATGTCCCTAACATCCTTCTTCCTCTTCCTCTTCCTCCCGGGTACTCCATGAAGACCTGGGGTTTCTCATGGCAGAAGTCAGAGTCACTGGTGGCCAGCTCACTGCTTGAGGCCCTCCTCAGTGAACAGAACACCTGCCCTTGCCATCACAGCACTGCTCAACACACTGCCCCTGATCCACCCTTTACCCACTGCTGAAGGAGTGTTTTGTGAATATAGCCTCATCTGTATCCTTTTAAAATTCTCCTATAGGCTCCCATCTCCTCTGAGATAAAGATTCACCTCCTCAACTTGTACGTGTGTGTAATGTATTTAAGACCCTTGATAATCTACCTGTGCCTGCCTGTTTGCCCCTCTTTGGCCCTACTCACTCGAAGTGTGTGTTCAGTTTTTATGACTTATGTGTAAGTCCTTGAGGAAGCTTTGCCCTCTCACAGGTCTACTTGTTCGCCTATCCTGTTTTCTCTCCTAGAATATCCCCTGCTACCCTCCTCTACATCAAGATCCACTTAATCATCATTTCATTTGAATGAGTTCTTCATCATTAACAAGTCAACAGCATCAAAGATGTGCTGGTTAGTGATAACAATAACACCCAAGGAAGAAAGGTAAAAGGCAAAAGCACCATGAAGGATATGGAGAAATGGAAATAGTGAGTTAAAACGCTGCAAGAAACTATCCACGAATGACAGAAAACCCTACAACTACCCACTGTCTGCTTATTTTTGTGAGACTACTGATTATTTTTGTGAAATTTGGTGTGGAACTTAGTGTTATCATCCCTAAAAAAGCATACATTATAAAAAGACCAAATATTTTGTTTTTGTTTGATTGGTTTGTTTTTTGCCAAAGTTAGCTTATCAGGTCACTACAATTCTCGTGAATTTTAGACTAGTGACTGTATTTCTAAATCTTTTGGTTTGTAGGGCCTAATATTTATACTAATTATATCTTTTATCTTTTCATGAATATTTATTAATGAAATGACTGCATTTTCATAAGTATTTGTTAATAAAGTAAAATGAAAGAAAGTGAATATGTTTACTACAAGAAAAACACAGCCTTGAATCCCAACTTTAGCACCGAACTGCTCTGAATTATAAAAAAGAAAGGGCCATGTCTTCGGGTTTAGCCGTTAATGATGTCATTCTTAATGGAACTGGTGAGACTAAAGAATGTTCGTTATTTAATGACTATAATGGGCTCTGAAAGCATTCTGCAATCTGTGTGACCTTCCAGTGCCAAGCCACCAAAATCAAGGGAAAAGAAAAAATTACCTAATTACTTTGGAACTCATTCTCTCCATGAGTTGGGGGAAAGAAACTTAACTTCTGCATAACTTGCCTCACGCATTATTTCCAAAATTGTGTTGACTATTTTGAGTTTGTATTTTTTAGTCAGCTTACCTTGAATCACCTCAACCTCATACCCTATGTCCATGAAATGGACCAGTTTCACATTTGAGATAAGGCGAGCTACTTTCTTCAGAGGGCCTTAGAAAACTGTTTTGCTCAAATCCATCTACAGAAATAATTCTCAGCTGTTTTCATCATTGTCATTGCTTAAGGAGTTTCCTGGAACTTACAGTATATGGTAATGGATGAGTCAGGGTTGTTTCTATTAGCAGGTGTGGAAAATTGCATTCATTTGCTTGAAAATAGATCTGCATGTAGTTTCAAGCTTGGGACTTGGAGAAGCGATTAAGTGGCTTGATTTCTATGCCTTTTCTTTCCTCCTCTGAGGCACTCTTGCACACTTTCTCTCTCTCTCTCTCTCTCCCTCCCTTCCTCCTCCCTCCCTTCCTCTGTTTCTACTTTCTAATGTGTAAATGAATAAAAAAGTTCTCCTTCCAATAAATTTGTTTTTTCAGCCATAAAAAAAGAAGATTGCAGAGATACATCTCCACTCGGCTTCAGCAAGGATATCTTGAGTATAAAAGAACTTTCTGGAAACATAGCCACATTCACTGACAAGAGGCAAAATGATGTTTTTGTTTCAAGAATTTTCCTCCTGTGAACTTTTCAAAATGAACAGGACTTGTAGGATAGTAGGAATCTAACAAATTAAGTTTTTTCCCTCTGTTGGAATGATTTTTCTCTTTCCAGAATTAAAACAAAATATTTAAATTTTAAAATTTTTATTTTAAATGCAAACCTATGAGTTTTTCTTTGTGAAGTTAATACAATCCCAAACAGATATAACAGAGCTTTGTTCCCTTGCTGGGAATGATTTTGCATATGTTATGAATCCTTTAATGTCATAGAGTGGCATTCTATTCATCTTGGTGACATAATCTCCTGTTGTTTAGCCAGTGCTTATCTAAAGAAAACAATGCTAAACTATGAGGGGATTACACACAAGCACAATTCCAAGTAGTCCCCAAAAATGGGCTTTTATGTAAAGTCAAAGTAGAGCATATCATCTACTGCCTTCCCGTCTTTTAAGTGCCTATGGTCCACTGTGTGAGAGCCTTTCACATCCCGCGCATGTCTTCCACATCTTCCAAGAGGTCATCAGCCTTCATCAGCACACCTGTGGGCCCATGCAGAGAGACATCACTGTGAAGCAGCTATCTCATTTTTTTAATTCATTAATTTTATTGGCACATTTTAGGTATACAATATGCTGACATTTGTTATTGGGAATTTGTACCTTTACACAAGATATCTTGGGTTTTTTTTTTTCTCCATTCCACTGTCCTCCCTTTAAACCCTCCATCCCTTCCTATTTACAAAAGCTTTGTTTCCATTTTTTCATTTTCTTATATTGATTCTTTTCCCTTCTTTCCTTTCCCCTACCTCTCCCTCTTCCCTTCCCCTTTGGACTTTTTCTTCTGATTTCACATTATCTTTTATACCTTTTGATCTTATGTACACTTTCAGTTTCTCACACCAGAGTAATTATTCAGTATTTACACATGCGTGTCCTATTTATCTCACTTAAGAGTATTGCCTCAGTGTGTATCCATTTAGCTATAAATGTCTCTAGTCTCTCATTGTTTATGGCTGAGTAGTACTCCATTTTATTTTTTTAAAACCCCACATTTTCTTTATCCAGTCCCCAGTCAATGGACAATTGGACTTTTTCCAAGTTTTAGCTATTACAAACTGTGCTGCTATAAACATGGGTGTGCATATATCACTGTGGTATGATTCTTTTGATTCTTTTGGAAAGATACCCAGCAGAGGGATAGCTGGGTCAAATGGAACCTCTAATTCTAGTTCTTTGAGCTTATCTCCATACTGATTTCCACAGTGGTTGCAACAGTCTGCACTCCAACCAGCATTAGAGCAGGGTTCCTTTCCCACCACAGCTACACTAGCATTTGTAATTGGTTGACTGTTTTCATTTGTCTTTCTTGAATGACCAGTTATTTTTAACATTTTTTCATATGTTTATCTGCTTTCTACTCCTTTGTCTGAGAGATATCTGTTCATTTCTGATACCCATTTTTGGATTGGGTCTTTAAATTTTGGAGGCCTGATTTTTTTTAAGTTCTTTATATATTCTAGATAGTAGACTTTTGTCTGAGGAACCACTGATAAAAAATTTTTCCCACATTGTTGGTTGTTTGTTCACACTGTTGATGGTTTCTTTTGCTGTGCAGAAGCTTTTTAACAAGAAAAGATCCCAGTTGTTGATTCCTTCTGCTAGTTCACATGCTACTGAGGATTTTTTCATAACGTCTTTTCCTATGCCAATATCTTCAAGAGTTCTACCTAACCCCTCTTCCAACTGGTTTAGTGTTTCTGTTTTATTATTTAGATCTTTAATCATTTTGATTTAGTTTAGTGCATGGTGAGAGATATAGGTCTAATTTTAATCTTAGGCAAGTTGGAACCCAATTTTTTCCCACACCACTTATTAAAGAGGCTTTCTTTCCTCTAGTGAGGGTATTTGGCTCCTCTGTCAAAGATGAGGTGGCTGAGTATGTCTGGAGTTATCAGCACACAAAATTCAATAGCCTCCCTGTACACAAACAACAAATTCACTGCTAGAGGAACTGGAGAAACAACTTTTTTCACAATAGCATCCAAGAAAAATGAAATACCTCAGAATCAATCTAACAAAAGAAACCAAAGACCTCTACTCTGAAAACTGCAGCACTCTGAGAAAAGAGATGAAAGAGGATATCAGAAAATGGAAAGGCATCCCTTGTTCCTGGGCAGGAAAAACCAATACAGTGAATATGGCCATACTTCCAAAACTGCTATATAGACTCAGTGCAATCCACACTGAAATTCCAACAGTATACTTCACAGACCTTGAGAAAACAAACTAAAATTCATTTGAAACAAGAAGAAATCTAAGAAAGCAAAAGTAATTCTAGGCAACAAAGACAAGGTAGGGGCTATCACAATCCCCAATTTGAAACTATACTACAAAGCTACTGTGATAAAGACAGCATGGTACTGGTAAAGAAACAGACCCCAGGATCAATGGAACAGATTAGAAGATGCAGTTGTCTCATTTTTAATTCACAAATTACATAGAAATAACATGAATTTCATAGGTCTTTTTAGGATATTGGATTAAGGGTAGCAAAACCATTTCTGAAGGGTTTTGTTTCTAGAAATCAAATTATCAGATGATCGTGATACAAGTTTTATCATTTTCCTCATCTCTAAAAGAAATAAACTAAACATTTTTCACTTCTAGATTTCGTGCTAAAAGCAAAACCTTGTGATTTTTCAGAAGGAAAGTAAAGCTACTTGAATATCTTCAACATATTATACTTTTAGAAATGTACTTCAAAAATAAAAATTACAAATTTTTGAAAATGTATTAAGTGTCATATACTTTGTTAAATTTGCTACAGGCACTGTTTTATTTTCTCTAAAATGCTGACTATATATTTTTATGATCCTTGTTTCACAGTTTAAAAATTAAGGCATATAGAGGACATATAGTGTGTGTGGCAGAAGTGGTAATGGAAAAATGTTGGTCAGATGTACAAAGTTTTAGTTCAGTAGGATTAGTAGCTTATAAAGATAACAGGTGTAAAGCAATGTATTATATACTTGAAAATTGCTAAGAAAGTACATCTTGTGTTCTCATCACCAAAAAAAAGATAAATTCGTGACATACGTTAATTGTTGACTTAATAACTTCACAATGCATGCACATGTCAAAACATGACCGTTTATACAGTAAATATATATAATATGTTAATTTGCTCTAATAAATCTGAGTATGATACATGTACACATATATAGAGCTAGAAATATTGAAGCTATACTTTGAACCTATGCTTTTTATCATCACATAACACTGCTTGTCTGTATTTCATGTCGGGAACATAACTCTCATTCTCAGTACCATTTCCAGTCCCACTACAGCCTACCAGGTCTACCCTAGAAGCAAATAGACGTTATTCAACATATCCAGTATGACTAAGTAGATGAAATTGTATAGCAGGTTAATTAAGAATTTGACTGCCTGCTACATTTTACTCATATGGGAGTCTGGACAAGTTAGTCTATCTATAAAACGTCAATGATAATAATGACATCTTCTTATTTTAAGAATCAAATGACATCATCTTCATAGAGAATTTGGTGTCTGTTGCTTATATCACTTATTTGTGTTGCAAAACAGAGACTGTCTCTGAAGCTTTGTAATTACCAGGGCCTACTTAGAACTTGGCTTATGGTAGGTTCTATGATGGATTAATGAAAACAAGGTAGGCAAGTGTCTTGGTTTAAATATGCAGTGTTCCTCAAATGCTCATGTACTGACACCGTGCTCCCCCATGCAGAAATGTTCAAAGGTGGGGCCTGGAAAGGCGACTAGATCATAAGGGCACTGACTTCATCACAGATTAATCCACTGATAACTTCATAGCCAGAGCCTGTTGGGGAGGAAGGTGACTGGAGGCACGCTTTTGAATGGTGTGTCCTGTCCTCAGATCCTTTCTCTTTCTCCTTCCATCCCTCCCTCTCTTTCTCTGACACTTCCCACTTTTGTTGCTTCCTAGCTGCCATGAAGCACACAGCTTTCCTCCTCCAGGCCCTCCCACCGCCATGTTTCAACCCTGCAGCCAGCCGACCATGGACTGAAACCACTGGAACCATGGGCCAAAATAAATCTTCTTTCCTTTTACTCTTGCGTGTCAGGTATTTTGTCCCAGCAACAGAAAATTAACCCATATAGCTGGCTTCATTTTCAAAGAATGTAAGCCTACACCCAATCCAGGTTTTATAACAAATCTGAAGTCTAAGTGATACATGAGACCAGATATCATTTACTCAAAAGTAAAATAGCAGACTTAAGCAAGACAAACATAACCACTGGGGCTAAAAGTAAAACCACAGTCAAAGCTGGCAGAAACTACAGGAAGAAAAGAGCACTGGAATCTGGGTACATGCACCAGATTATAAAAGAACACCTATCTGTCTTTTTTTTCCTTTCTACTATAAACACATATTTGGTGGGTACTTAACATATAACCGGAATGATACTGGGCTCTGAGATTACCATTAGTAAGACCAATGGAATCACTTGACTTTGTTATTTCCTTATCTTGCTTGTTGGAACTGCAAAGCAGGCTGCTACAAAAGGTGAATTTATCTGGCCTTGATTTCTACTGAAGCACCAGTATGCTCTATATCAGATGCCAAATTCACTATGAGTCAAATCAACACATGCAGAACTTGTATCTACCAAATATTTATAGAGTGGTTTCTTAAGTCACAGCACACATAAGGGAGGAGGGGGGAGAGAGAGAGGGAGAGAGGAAAAGAATTTGAGATCTCTGTGGAGAGAGTCAAACTTTGGACTTTCTCCTATTTTTCCAGGACAGAGGAATCTTGGGGAATGTATCACCTCTTTGTTCTTAGGCATAATGAATGTATTTTTCAGCCACATTTGAGGAACTAGATGTTTCCTTGTAGTTGATGGACACAGAAGAATGAACCCTGAAGTGGCTAAAATGATTTGTGATAAGCTCCTCAATAGGATGGCTTTGAGCTATACACTCAAGATTTTGTTGCAAGAAGAGTTTTGGGTTCCTGGTGGATCCAGGATGAGTCCTGTTATGGATTACATCTAAAATATCCCCCCAAAGCCTCTGGAGTTTGAAAGGTAATTAGATCTATATCTCCTACCATGTACATCATCCAGAAAATGGCTTGAGTTGAAAAAGGAGAAACATTTGACATTGAGTCAAGCTTGGTTCCTTTTAACATTTTATACTTGGCTGCTTTAATTTTTTGTTTAAAAGTATTTGTGCTCCTTGAAAGAGAAGGTAGGATATGCTAATCTGAGCAGAAAAAATTATGGAAACTCCCTATGTTCTGACTCAGCAAGAGACATATTACTTCACTGGAATGTCTGAAATAAAACTGAAGGTAATAATATAACGTTGCTTTTATATTGTGTTTCATGAGTCGTGTTTATTCACAAAGTTCTGAAACTCACAAATAATATCCCCCCCCTCCTCAAAGACTTTTGGATTTATCACCAAAAAAATTTAAAAACTTTGATATAATATACCTATACTGGTAAACAACAGTCTCAAAACAATTAAATTT